GCCTGCCGCGTCAACACGCCACACAGGCTGCACAAGGTTGCATGTGTTGCGTACTGCTGCATGGCATGCAGCTCGAACTGCTTGAGTGACGCTCCCGTCCCCTCTCCCTGGGTACATGCTTCCCCCCACCCTTGTAAGTGAGAAGCACCCTTGCAGATGACACCTGGGAGACATCCTGGCTGCTAAGCACTGGCTCCAGGTGCTGGGTGACAGTGCTGTTGCGGTCGTTACGCTCATCCTCGGACCTGGTGGACAGGTCACCCTCCTCCTCCACATCAAGTGGCCTGGTCACCGGGGGACACAGGCAGGTGTCCACTGTCCATGAAGGTCCTGGGACTGCTGTCTCACCAAGGAGGGCGTGGAGGCCCTTGTAGTGCGGGCAGATGTCAGCTCATGCCGCCTCACCGGCCCGGATATAGCCCAGGCACAGCTCCTTGACCTTGGCCCAGACCTGTTCAAGGGTCTGGGCTGGATGTCCCTGGTCCAAGAGCGCTTGGGCTATGGGGCTGAAAATGTCAGCATTGCAGCGATGGGCATGGGGGTCATGGAGGGCTTCCTCCTCTGCCCACAGGTCCAACAGGGCCTCTACCTCAGCCTGGGCCCAGCAAGGGGAACGTCACTTGGTGCCCCTCTGGGCCTGCTAGGAGCCCTAGGGTGGCTTTCTGGGAGGAGGGTACAGGCTCTCAGGGTGCCTATGGAGCAGGCATCTGGGCTCCTGGGTGCAGCAGGGCAGAGCTGCATGGTGGAGCTGCTGGCTGTGCTGCTGCTACCACATAGCATCTGCAGCCTGCATGTGGCTTTAAGGCGGGGGGGAGGAGAGGTCTGGCAACCAGGAAGTAAGGAACTATGAGTGCAGCTACTGAGTGTCCAAGCGGCCACTTGGGTGTTTTCCTAGGAGGCCAGTTCTTGCACAAAAACTCTTGGCTGCCTGTCCACACTGCCTTCTTGCGCAAGGAGGCTTCTCCTTGATATGGAGCGTCAGAGCTCTCATGCAAGAAGCCCTGTTTTCCGATACTGTACTGTAAATTTACTTGCGGAAGAATGCACGTGCAGTGTAGACGCTCTAAGTTTTTGCGCAAGAACGACCATTCTTGCGCAAGTAGCCTGCCGTGTAGACATAGCCTGAGTGAACTGTGTAAGTACCCCAAATAGCTATAGGCACTCAGGAGCAGTACACGTTTTTGTAAATTTATTAAAGTTAACCAGTTCTCATTGCCATCTTTTTTTAATTCCCTTCTCAATTCAGATCTGATAGCTCCTGATCAACTAGCAGTTAACAGTTTTGCAGATAGCACTAAGCGCTGATTCTGTCTCTAGCAGTTAGGGTTACATTAGCCCCCACAGTGTTCCAATGGAGATGGAGGAAAGGAAGCAGCATGTTACTATGATGTCATTAACAACTGAGTGAAGCCTACACTATGACAGCAAGCTAGGAAGAGGTTGCAAGTATGTCAGGGGTAAAATTCAAAATTACCTTGGAGAACTGGTCAAAAATCAAAGTACAGGCAGTCACCGGGTTACGTACAAGATAGGGACTGTAGGTTTGTTCTTAAGTTGAATTTGTATGTAAGTCGGAACTGGTACATATTGTACCCCATGTGTCCCCGATTCAGCCACTGCTGAAACTGACCAGCGGCTGACTACAGGAAGCCCAAGGCAGAGCTGCTTTGCCCCAGGCTTCCTGGAATCAGCTGCTGATCAGTTTCAGCAGCAGCTAACTTGGGGACACCTGGGGTAGAGCAGCTGGGGGGCTGCCAGGTTGAGGCTCGATGTCAGGGTGACGGTAGGTTTCTAGTGGAGTGCCCCAAGGTTCAGTTCTAGGACCGGTTTTGTTTAATATCTTTATTAATGACCTGGATGAGGAGATGGATTGCACCCTCACTAAGTTTGCAGATGACACTAAGCTAGGGGGAGAGGTAGATATGCTCAAGGGCAGAGATAGGGTCCAGAGTGACTTAGACAAATTGGAGGATTGGGCCACAAGAAATCTGATGAGGTTCAACAAGGACAAGTGTAGAGTCCTGCACTTGGGACAGAAGAATCCCAAGCATAGTTACAAGCTGGGAACCAACCAGTTGAGTAGTAGTTCTGCAGAAAAGGACCTGGGGGTTACAGTGGATGAGAAGCTGGATATGAGTCAACAGTGTGCCCTTGTAGCCAAGAAGGCTAATGGCATATTAGGCTGCATTAAGAGAAGCATTGCCAGCAGATCCAGAGATGTCATTATTCCCCTTTATTCGGCATTGGTGAGGCCACATCTGGAGTATTGTGTCCAGTTCTGGGCCCCCCACTACAAAAAGGATGTGGATGCATTGGAGAGGGTCCAGCGGAGGGCAACCAAAATGATTAGGGGGCTGGAGCATATAACCTATGAGGAGAGGCTGAGGGAGTTGGGTCTGTTTAGTCTGGAGAAGCAAAGAGTGAGGGGGGATATGATAGCAGCCTTCAACTTCCTGAAGGGAGGTTCCAAAGAGGATGGAGAGAGGCTGTTCTCAGTAGTGACAGATGGCAGAACAAGGAGCAATGGTCTCAAGTTATGGTGGGAGAGGTCCAGGTTGGATATTAGGAAAAACTATTTCACTAGGAGGGTAGTGAAGTACTAGAATGGGTTACCTAGGGAAGTAGTGGAGTCTCCATCCCTAGAGGTGTTCAAGTCCCGGCTTGACAAAGCCCTGGCCGGGTTGATTTAGATGGGATTGGTCCTGCCTAGAGCAGTGGGCTGGACTTGATGACCTTCTGATGTCTCTTCTAATTCTATGATTCTATGATAAGGGTATGGTTTGAGAACATGATCTTGGTAACTAATTGACAATTCATTATCAGTGGGAAATAGGTCAATGGAGGGATGATAAGAGTTACTATGGAGAGCTTTCTGGGTGTCTGGCTGGTGAGTCTTGCCCACATGCTCAGGGTTTAGCTGATCGCCATATTTAGGGTCAGGAAGGAATTTTCCTCCAGGGTAGATTGGCAGAGACCCTGGAGGTTTTTCGCCTTCCTCTGTAGCATGGGGCACAGATCACAGCTGGAGGATTCTCTGCATCTTGGGGCCTTCAAAGTATTTGAAGGCTTCAATATCTGAGACATAGGTGAGAGGATTATTCTAAGAGGGGTGGGTGAGATTCTGTGGCCTGCACTGTGCAGGGGGTAAGACTAGATGATCATAATGGTCCCTTCTGACCTTAAAGTCTATGAAAAAAAGAGGGCTAACTGGCTTGGTGGTATTCCTGCAGGGAAAAAGAACTGGGAGCTAGAATGAATCACAAACTGAATATGAAACAACATTTTCAAATAGGTTAATATCCCCACATTAACAGGTAAGACACCAAAGTAACAGTCAGTCACTACTTTAGGAAAGAGGTGGATAAACTGAAACGTCAAAACAAGTACACCCATAATAAAAAACTTAGTGCAATGGTCCCCAAACTGTGGGGCACACAAAAGAACATCAGAGGGGCACAGGACAGTCCCCGACCCTGCCCCAAACTCAGCAATGGCTGTGCCACTGAGACTCCAGTCCTGACCTTCAACCTCCTGGCCCCACTCCGAGATGTAGCACCTCCTATTCTTGTGCACCCGCTGTAAGTCATAGATACAGCGCCAGCGGGGAGGGACAGAGGTGTTAAGGGCATGACACTAAAAAGCTTGAGGCCCACTGGTTTAGCAAACCTGACCTATGTGGAAAGATTTTAAAAAACAAGAGCCTGATAAGGCTTAAGAAAAAGACATCTGGGAGGTGGGGGGTGGCTTGGTAACTGTCTTAACGTATGTTAAAGGCTATTATAAAGACAACAGAGTCCAACAATGTTCCTTCTAGTCTTTCCCATCCATGTGAGGAATAAATTGTGTGCTTCCAAGGCATGTGCAAATGTGCATCACCAACAGAAACACAAAACTGTGGGCACCCTTCAAATCAACGGTGTGGCATCTGAATTTCTCCTGAGCCGCCCCACAAGCACTCAGCTTACAGGTAACAATGGTGCCCAATTGTTCTTGTATCTTCCATGAAGATGGGAGACATAATGAGACTAGATAGACCATTTTCACTATCTAATAATGATAAAGGTAGTTAACCACTGATGACTCTGTAACAGCTTGAAAGCCTGTTACAGTATTTAAGAACAGGTTGGTCAAACACCTGTCAGGGACGGTGTAGGTCAGTAAACTCCAATCTTTTTAAGCACAAGATCACTTTGTATTTAAGTGCAATCCAGGATCTACTTCAAACCCCAATACCCTTGCCTCTTCTCCAAGGCCCTGCCTCTGCCTTCCTCCCTCATCTTCCCTCCCTTTCACTAGGCTGGAACAGAGGCCTGGGGAACACACACTGGTCCTGGGCTATGGGATTTGGAGTGTGAGAGGGACTGTGAGCTGAGTCTGCGGCAGGGCGTTGGGGTGTAGAAGGGGCTTCATGACTGGGGCAGGGGTTAAGAGCTGCCTCAACCTGGACACTGCTTACCTCAGGTGGCTCCTGGGTGGTGGTGCAGTGGGGCTAAGGCAGGCTCACCTCTGCCCCAGCCCTGCACCACTCTCAAAAGCAGACAGCAAACTCCATCCCAAGTCCTGCTGTGCCCCCTCCGTTCTGTGGTGATAGAATACAGGGTGCGAGAGGGGGCACCCTGACATCAGCTCCCCCTCCATTCCCTTCCCAGACCTGCCCAGAAAGCAAGAGGCTCTCGAGTGTGTGTGTGTGTTGGGAGAAGGGGGCAGCTCCAATGCAAAGAGCAATAGATGCACAGTATTGACCCAAGTGCTGGCACTTGATAGCTTTTTGGCCAAACCAGTCAGGATCACCCATCAGAGGCTCTAAGATCTACTAACAGTCACTGATCTACTGGTTGGTGACCGCTGATCTAGGTTTAATTGGTCCTGTCTCAGTGCAGGGACCTGTGCTTGATGACCGAGTTCCATTCCAACCCTACACTTCCACGATTCTCTGAATTCACCCAAGTGCTGGCACTTGATAGCTTTTTGGCCAAACCAGTCAGGATCACCCATCAGAGGCTCTAAGATCTACTAACAGTCACTGATCTACTGGTTGGTGACCGCTGATCTAGGTTTAATTGGTCCTGTCTCAGTGCAGGGACCTGTGCTTGATGACCGAGTTCCATTCCAACCCTACACTTCCACGATTCTCTGAATTCTACAACTGGATATCACATAATCATTGAGGTAGCAACAGGAATGTGGTGCTCTGTGCCATGAAAAAGCTTAGATTTTCACCATTCCAAATGCATAGATGATTAAACTGCAGCCCTCATGTTGCAAGTGATATTAGACTTTATAACTATCACAGGTCAATCAATCCAGTATTGCTGTTTCTGAACTGATCCAGACTTACATATGGCAAGTTTGACATGTTACAAAACCTAGTTGGAGAGAGAGAGAGAGAGTGAGTGTGTGTGCACATGTCAGAGAATATGGGATGTTATTAACTTATAAAAGAGCTCTTTGTGAGATGTGACTATTTTATGTCCCTATTCAGTGATGAAGTTATTTGTAAACCCCCCAGAAAAATTATTCTTTGCAAAATTTGACTATCTTTTTCAATTAATTTAATCTGGGGGGTTTTGCATTTTACACAATTTAAATTCCCATAGCTATACCTGTCCCTCTGCAGAGCTGTACACATTAAATCAACAAGTGAAAACACGAGAACAAACAGTAATTGTAACCTGCAATACTATTCATATCAAGTCAACAAGCAGAAATCTGAATCCATTTACTTTTCCATCTGCCACGGATACAAAAACTAAAGAGAGACTTAAAAAATGAATCAACAGCTCCTGCAACTATGACTTTCTTGCGCCAATCTGTGGCTCTATTCCAGTGGAGCAGCTGGGAGATTTCACTGAATCCAAAGCATGTCATCAGCCTGTTGACTTGATAACAATGCACAAGAAGAAATAGTTAACAGGTGGATCATTCTTAATTTAAACAGCTGTTTTTTCCAGATTGTGTTGTTAAATGCCTATTTGCTGTTCAATTTAATAAATTTTGCAATAAAAAATCCTATGCAGTCTTTATTTGCCAGCAAGATCAGGTCTTCTTCCCTAGAATCCTGCAAGGAATTAATATCCATTCCATGTGAAGTCACACTGGATGGATCAAATCTCTGCAGCAGCTTTAGCTGATCATGTGACAATCCAGCTCCCATCATGCCTTCTCCTCCAATACATGGTTCCTTTGAGTGAGAAAGCAAAGCATTTTATTTACATCAGTCTGCAATTACTGTTTTAATTAATTAAAAACAAATTAAAATATTAATTCAGCAAGAAATTATGTACGGAAAGATGTAGTGTAACACACTGGTAGAATAATTTTAATTGAATATTTAATATGTAATTTCTATATGAGCCAAAGCCAAGCTGTTCCCAGCTCCAGGAATTTGCTCTGTTTTATTCCTTCATAAGGAAAAGGAAAGAGCATCCTGGCTCATGCTACTGGAAATATACTTACACAAAAATCATAAAATGTAAATGGAAATATTATGGGAATACACCTGGTTTAAGGTCACTCCCTAATTTTAAAAAATTAGACGCGAAACACAAGTACTTCATACAATACAGGTGCTAACCCTGGCAAAAAATTCCATGTACCACACACATGTACAGGGAGGCAATGTATTTAGTTTTAAAGTTTTAGAAATGTAAACCCAACTCTGTATTAATTGGTTTTAGAATTAAATAAAACTGTTATTTGGGTGAAATATCAAGTGTTTAAACAGAGCTTGTGACTGCTACCTATACAGCTCCATAGAAAACAATAGTGAGTGAATGTTGTTCAACTTTATGAGTGAAATCCTACAATACTGTCATCAATGGGAGGTTTTCTATTTACTTCATTTGCTTTATAACTTACTAGAAGATTTACACCTGGCATGTTCTCGAGTCCCTTAATTAATGCATGTTTTTGGAAAATAAAATTAATAATGCACATGCTTCATTTAACTCATTGCTCTGGAGTGGGGATGGGGATGAGAGCTTCAGTATGCATGCTATCAGAGAGACACAACTACCCCAATCCTCTCTCATTGTAGCAGCTTGGGCTCAGGTGAGAAGCACCTTTCAATGGCTGCTACAACTCCAGCAGGTTCAGACTCGTCTGCCCCCTGTACTCTCCAGCCAGAGTGAAGAATGCAGCAACTGTGCACTGTCCCTTCCCTCCCTGATGAATGGGAACAGACAGCAATGTCCTGTACAAATCGGGGGGGGGGGGTGCCAGCCCCCCGACCCTGCCTAAAGGGGGTTGGGAGGCTCGGAGCAGAGCACTCCTGGACGGGGGAGAAGAGAGGAGGATGTTAGTTGTTACAAAGTACAATACTGCAACAACATACAGCATGTAGGATGCTAACAGAAGACTTCATCGAAGACTATTTTCATTGGTCAACACTGTTGTCACTTACCAGTGACAAGACTTTCCTGTTCCTCAAGTACTTCTAATTGCAAATCCATTTCTAACTACCTATAGATACTACATACCAGAAGTTTCAGTATTTGCTACACAGTGGTTTTAAATGTACTTGATTGTATTCTTCTGAGCAATATCTTACCACACACCAGCAAGGAGTATTTTAAGTGTCATAGCACGGCTATTATAAATAGATGTATAAAAATCCAAACACTATTCATATCTGCAGAAACTAAAAATGCCTGAAATTATGAAGTCACATACACCATTTCTTCACTGTTTCCAGAGTAGTTTTCTGCAGAAGAATTCTTTGGCATATTGCTTAAAATTTCAATGATAAAACCTTCATACTGAACTGCATGTAGTAAAATGAAACTGTTCCTACCTGTGACTGAAGCTGCAGGCACGGAAAAGTTTCCAGGGCCCAGGCGACTTGCTCCTCATTTTCAGACAGTGTAATTGTACATGTACTATACACTAAAATGCCTCCTGGCTTCAGCAATTTCACTGCCTAGAAAGAGACTGTGGTTCAGCTTGCATGGTATAAACAACTTCAATTCAGAAACAACATGGAGTCTTGTGGCACCTTAAAGACTAACAAATATATGATGCTTCTGAAGAAGCAGGTTCCAATCCACTCAAACTTATGCCCAAATAAATTTGTTCATCTTTAAGGTGCCACAGGACTGCCCATTGTTTTTGCTGGAACAGACTAACAAGGCTACCCTCTGAAACTTATATGTGTAATTACTTTGTGCAATACAGTAGTAAAGTAAGTTTTCTTAAAGGTTAATTATGATTTGCATATGTATTTGGAACTGTTATGGTACAGTAGGTAAATGTAACACATATTTAGGCCAGAATCTTTCTGTCTATGACTCAGGCATTCTGCTAATTGTATACAGACATTTTGTCCCTTTTAAGGGATGCAATAAAAGACCTAACATTTCCAAGTTCATGTCTAGAAGAAAAGACGAGTGTTTGCATTACAGAATTCTACCAATCAGAAAGCCTTTCCTGCCCTATTAGCATTAGAGCTTCCTGGGATGAGGGAAGTGACTTCTTCCTTCTAAACAGCCCTTTGGAAATCTCTGTGTAACTCATCCAGATGTAGATTGGATTTATTTTCATCAGCAAAAGCCAAATGTGGACATAGCGTTTTCTGATCACTGACTGACAACTGATTTTGTTCCCACGTACAAAATGAAGGAACAAAAGGGTTAGAAAAGAATGTCATTTCCTATTACATTATTATACTTTAGTTACTCGAGCTCAAATATGAAGAAATTTTATATATCTAAGATGTTCTTAGGCTCTAAGATTAATCTCTAAGAAAAACATAAGCCTTTTGAAAGGGGCACACAATTGATCTTGTATTGTATCTGAAGGTTTCTAGGTACAGATTTAAAATTTCCTTCCTCTGACTCTGTCAGATGTGAATATGGGAAAACTGAGCTGAACACAACTGCTTCTGTTTTCCCATCTTGTTCTGACCAAGGTAGTAGGGATCTAAAAGACCAGGGGTGTGTCTAAACTACACCCCTCTGCCAACAGAGGGATGCAGATTAGGCACATCGCTATTGCAAATGAAGCGGAGATTTAAATATCCCACACTTCATTTAAATAGAAATGGCCACCACTTTTTGCCGGCAAAGTGCCGCCGCGGCAAAAAGCGGCAGTCTAGACGGGGACTGGTCAGCTTTTCCGACCAATCCCTTATGCCTCGTGCAGTGAGGTTTACAGTATCGGTCGGAAAAGGCTTTATTTTAGTAATTGTATAACCACAACAATTCTTAGCAGTTACATGGTTATTTGATGGTCCCTGGGGATGGGGCTGGCAGTTAGTGCGCTCCCAGCCCCACTCCCAGGATGCCCCCTGCCACTCCACATTGCTGCCTCTGTATCAGGTGGAAGCTGATCCATGAGGGGAGCTAGTTTAAAAATCGGCTCCTGTGTAGCCTTGTAATTTTGTAGGCAATAAATTAGTTAGTTATAATGAACGTTATGGGAAAAGGTTTGGATTAAACTTAAACACAAGATGTAGGCCACAGACAGGCCAGGCAGCTTTGTTAACTTAGCTCCAGCTCTTTTGATGTTAGCATGGTCTGATATTAAAGTGAAGGGATGGAATATTGTAATGCATAGTGATGTCAGTGATGCCTTGTAATAGACAGAAAGAAGCGTAATGTTGAAAGACTTTGTAACTTTGTTAAAGTGAATAAAAGTACCCTTTTGTCCCACGCTGCAATTGTGTAAATGTATTGTTTGTGTGAATGAGAGAGAGAAAGTTTTAGGAGAGATAAGTGTGAAGGCCACTGCATGACCAAATGGTCAGAGGAGGGGCTGGAAACTCAGAAGCACCAAATAATTATCAGCTAAGCTAAAGCACACAGAAGACGCAAACCGGACCGAGGCAGATTGACGAGCCCTGAAGTTAGTGGCAAGCATCCCCTGACAGGCAACAAACAACAAGTTTCGCCAGAAGACAACACCCTGGAAGGGTCATCAACACACTGATATTAGATGACTGCGAGAACAACCTCCAGATAAACATATGTCATAGAAAAACTGATTGTGATTGTGAATGACTGATTAAGGCCTGACAAGGCAAAATGCATAAACTTGCATGGAAGGAAAATCCTATAAAGGACTGGGTGTCTAGTATGGTTCTTCAGGTTCTGTCCTGCTAAGATCATGGAGCATCAGTCTGGACTGACAAGAACCCGGCTCCTCCCTCGTACTCAACTTATCTGGCCAATAAGTTGAGTCGAGCAACAGACTGGTAATTATTCCATCAGTGTGTGCATGTGAATTCATATGCTGCATGTTTCCTTATCCCCCTGAAAAATGTCCTGTGTGCTTCTTTTAATCATAACACCCACAGGGCATCAGCAGCCCCAGTCCACGGGGGGCCCTGAGCTCTCTGTGGACAGAGGTTGTTCCAGCATCTCACAAAGCAACCTCTATCTGCGGCAAGCCCAGCATGCCATGGACAGAGGCTGCTGTGCAGCAGCAGCCCCTGTTCATGGGCGCCTGGGTGCCTCATGTACAGAGGCTGCTTTGTGGGATGCAAGAACAACCTCTGTAAACAGGGAGCTCAGGGCCCCTCATGGACTGGGGCTGCTGCTGTCCCACACTGCTGCCTCTGATACAGAGCATGGGGCGGCTGGCGGCTGTCCTGAATGTTCGTAATTTAAACTCAGCCTTAATTTTAAATGCAGAGCACTTGGGAGGAGGGGAGGTTTGTTGCTTTTAGCCAGGACAGTTAACCGATAAGCAATTTCTTATTAGTTAAATGGTTAGCCAGCTACCTGTTAACATCCCTCGTAGGAACCAGAGCACCAAGACTTCCTAGTATTCAACTGACTCTGCAGTCTATCCAAGAGAGCATCCCTTAAATGTAAACTAGTTTAAGAAGAGGATACAAAAATGTGAAATCCCCAAATAGATTTGATGATACAGGAAATAGTAGAGTTCTCAACTTCAGAAGAGATGGGTGGGTAATTCCACTGCAGTGAGAGGGGTGTGGATATCAACTGAAGCTTGAAATTTTTATCAGTGAAGTGTACCTGTCTATCAGAGTGTGCTAGCCTTTCAGGGGCAAGTTTGTGCCAAACACATTCCTACTCCAGTATTAGCCTTTTTAGGTCAGGTATGCTGGGAACTATGACTAGAAACAAGGCCTGCTCAAAAGAAGACAGAAATGTAGACAGAAATAATTTCCAAATGAAAGAGATCCCAAGAACAACAACATAAGACCTCAGGGAGTAGCCGAGTTAGACTATAAAGTACTATCAGACCATTTGTTGTTTTTTAAGTTTATCCTGTATAGACTAACAAAACATGTAGATGGTATCATGAGCTTTCGTGGGCACAGCTCACTTCTTCAAATGACCGGAGTTGTCTGTGCCCACGAAAACTCATGATACCATCTATACGTTTTGTTAGTCTATAAAGTGCTACCAGACCATTTGTTGTTTTTTAAGTTTAACATAAGACTTAATGTAGTCTACAATGGGGAGCTGGAGAAAAGCACCAGCTTGCTGATGGGGCTCACCCTTGATGAGGGAAGGTCTGTTGTGGATCTCTCGATGGCAGGGAAGAGCTGGAAGAAATAGAAACTTGTTGAGAAGGGCTCTCCAAGGGCACACCAAGCTTTGTGATGATTCTCTGTGGAGAGGGAGCTAGCAAATGAACCTAAACAGGGCAATGTGTGTCAAGAAGCCTACGACAGAACCAGTGTTCCCTCTAAACTGCATGGCAGCATGGCTTCATAGGATCCCGTCCATGAAGCCCTGAGCCTGACTGGGCGGGACTGATTGATCACCTGTGAAGCTGTGCTACTGCGCAGCTTATAGAGAACACTAGACAGGACCTGAAAGGAGACTTACATACTATGAAGAAGACTTGATTTGTGGGGAAGAGGAAGCAGGTGTAGGACAAGACCTGGGGCAACAAAGCAGCTGCACAGGCTTGAGACCTAGTTATTTAGAGGCCTAATTTTGGCTTACACAGATGAGAAGAAAGCCACAGCCCTTTCACTCTCTGATCAAGAGGAATGATCAGGGAAGACCCTAGAGGAAAAAAACATTTAGCTTAGGCTGTGTCATGCACTAAGGGATGGGTGAACACAAAGGTCCATCAGTGGTGCCAGTGCAAGAACTGAAGACCCAGGGAGTAGCAAAGAATTGGAATAGCCCCTACAATGAAAGGGAAGGAGTCAGCACAGGAACAGGGAAGCATTATTTTTTGGAAGTCCTTTATTTTGGGCTTTTATTTGCCCTGGATGGAAGACTTCTGTACATCACAGCATCCAAGTATTAGAGAGCCAGGAGAAACTGAAGGATGACTGTATTCAGATGAGGTAAGCTGCATTTATATAACCCTTAACTGTAAACTATGTGTAGTTTTCATTAGTACTTTAATGATTCATACATACCGTGCTGAAAAGCTTGCGTTGCAATGGCTGATATGATGTCACTTCTTTCAGAGTACAGGAATAGGCCATATTTGGTCTCTGTCCCATCCCACTACAAGGAACATCAAGAAGAATTCGATCAAATGACTCTGCTGAGAACGGAGGGCCTTCTGCAAAGGGCAATTAATTTTTTTAAGAACAGTGGCAAAACCAGTTAAGTATACATTGCACAGAGCCTTCTTCTCTTGAGACTTCACCCATAGATAATGAGAAGCTATAACTGATTGTGTGCCATGAAGGGGTTTGTATTCTGTATATCATGTTTGCAGAAGTGAACTAATCCACAAGTAAGGAGCAGCAAGTAATGACTATCTAGATTTCATTCCTGAAAAGAAAGCATTGTACTTAGCACTATCTTAACAACACTGTGAACTTCAATAATTTGAGATCAACCTAGGCTTTAGCATTCCTCAACCCTAATTTAATGTCCTGAACGTACAATATTTAAAAAAACACTGTACTTTGATTGTAAGCTCTGGAATGTGACAAAATCTGGCTCCAAAAATTACAGTAAGAATACTATTTGGAGTTACAATTCCCTACCATGAATCTGTGTCTTCTCCTGTACTGTACTGGGCTCTACAACCCAGAAGTTCTTACAGCACCAGGAATAGGATAACAGCTCAATTCAGGACCTTAGATGAAAGAGGAACTGTTTCCCCACATACATCGTAGAGTAGCCAGTGAGGGAAGAAGTTGTATCTATTAATGCCTTCCAAAAATTCAATTTAGATCACAAGTAAAAAATAAGTTGGTGGCATCATCCTAAAGCTACCCAGTCAGATATCAGCACTACCCAAATCACCCTATTTTATAACTGTTGTCCAAGAGAGATTGTGGATTAAAATAGAGAGCATTTTGAGAAACCTCAGTGCAGAGGTGTGTAGTTAAGTCTGCACAAATATTATCTGTACTCTGGTTCTTTCTACTGCGATGGTTTCTTCACCTGTGCAAGCACTAAATACCAACCATCATAAAATATGTATGTATTTGTTGAAAAACTTTATGAAAATGTTGTATTTGACCTTGGAAATCAATCTGACTGAAAACTATGGGGCATTAACAAGGACTGCTTCACATGTGGAAAATGCATGAATTATGCAAAACTGTAGTTTTACTAGCTACTGTCCTTGCTGAATTACCAGGGAAAGGCAATTAACTGTTCCCGTTTGAAAAGGTACAGTTTAATTAGCATAGCAAACTAAAAAGAATCAAAGACAAAAATACACCATTTCAAAATTTCCATCCTGGGAACAGAATAATAAAAATAGCACCTCAGAAAATCAAATGAAATGAACCTAAAATAAAAGTAATGGTCTATGCTTCTATAGCAGTTTCCATCTAACAGCTGTACAAACATTAACAAAGTTTCACTGTACTCCAGGGAGTTAAATATTAATATCCTTATTCTACAGATGATTCAGAGGCATACAGAGCTGAAGTGATCTGCCAAAGTCACTGATGTGACACAGCTGACAAAAGCCAAAAAGCTTAAGAGTGTAGGTTTAAACAGTATAATGAAGAAAGGCTTAATAGGTAGTTTCTCGCCTATGTTAGCTGGAGAAGGAATGAATAAGGACAGTTAAAGAGTTTTCCCGTGTGCAGTGCTGAGAAACTGATAGGAATTGCAGAAGAGTAGAAAGTAAAAGGATATTCCACAGTGTTAAAGCAATACGTGCAAAAGTTTCAAAGACTTTGGATACTGTGGCCAGTTTAACAACACCAGCAAAAATCATTTTCTTCTAAAAGATAATCAAAATTCTTTAAATCATTTATTTTACCTTGTCCATCCTCGGTCTTCCCAATGGCAAGTGCCTTAGTTCCATCACAGCAAAATGCCTTAATGCAATTCAGCTGCAACAATGCTGCATTTTCCTTGATTTTTTTTACTTTGTTAGCTATTTTGTCCATGGCTATCACATCACCCTGAAAAAGTGAAATGTGCACCAAAAGTAGTGGTTAAAATGATGAGTAAGCTGTGGCAATATCTGTCACCTTTCATTTAAGCTCAAATTCAAAATACACATTTTTTTTCCATTTTAAAAACAAATTCTGATGAGAACATTTTAATCCAAGTTTTGTGATTGTATTTAAATCACAAAAATATAATTAATACATTCATAAATGTGTCCTGGTTTTGATTATCTCTATAACTAGTCAGAAATTTTTCATTTAAAAGTTCTTTAAAAATAGGGGGAAGGAAATCAACAATATTTTCATATTTACCAATCCGTTTTAATTAATACTATTTAATGAACTCTGTCCCCAAAAGTGGTTTAATTATTTGATGTAAAATTATAATGTATGGATGATAGAGTGCTAAAGTAATGTCAAAAAAAGTACAGATTGAATGTCTCTAGTCTGGCATTCTCTGGTTCGGCATGATTCCAATTAGCCAATTATCCACTTATGATGGGAGTGGCCAAGTTTCCCATGGTCACATAAAGTGTATTCAGAGCCACCAGCCCTGGTTCTCTATGTTCTGTGGTGTTGTTTAGTTCTAATTTACCTCTAAATCTCTTCTAAGATCCCAATAAGCAGTGGAAGTGTTGGTAATGCTGCTAGACAACAGTGACCTCCTGTGGTTCAGCAAATTCGCTGGTTCAAAACCAGTCAGGTTCTGAGGATGCTGAACTAGAGAGGTTCATCACAAGATTTCATTAAGACATTTTGGAAATGTAAACTATTTATTAAAACACAATTTGGAAATGATAAATATGGCATGGGGGAGGTGGAAAATGGACTTTGCAAGCAGAAAAGTAAAGCAGACACATGGTCAGGAAATACATTAATTAATACAATTCCAGTGCAACAATTGTATTTTCCCAAAGCTCTACCTTTGCAGTTGGTGTCTGGTTGAATTTTTTCCTTATAAAATTGAAAATATTTAATGTCTAAAATTAGCAGATACATCATCAAATTATGAAAAATGTGTGCATATGCAAAAAACATAAATGGAAGTAAATCAATGGCAAAGGCACACTGCTATATAGAAACTCTTCATCACTACACCGAAGCACTTCACTTGTAAATTTCAGGGCTCTACCTACTGAATGTCTAATGCATGTTTGCCATTTTCCTGTATTACAGGGCTGGCCACTTCTGTAAGCATCAATTATTTCAGGGCTACTCAACACGCGGCCCACGGGATGCCTGCTGCCCACAGCCTGTTCGTTTGCAGCCCACAGCGCAGATTGAATTTACACGATGCTCAACACGCGGCCCGTAGGTATCATTGTGGCCCCCAGGGCTTCCATAGTCAAATAGCCCTGAATTATTTCAATTAGACTTTCATATGCAGCAAACTGTGGGGTTTTTTAAAGCATTGCAGAGTCCTACTGTGAATGCATGGATAACTACTGAAGTTCATTTTGCTGCAAACCATAAGATCTCTTACATAACACCATTTTAGTTAAAAATGACAATTTGACTAATAAATGTTATATTTTCTCTGAAACTACTAAAGAAGATTTCCTCTCACACACACAAAATAGATTTCCTCTCTCATAGTCCTTTCCTTCAGACGGAACATGCCTTGATACAGGCAAGCCCTTACTTCTCTCCCCCATACTTATTTTTGAAGGATAATGTGCTTGTGTTTTCTCTTTTGTCTTCCTCTAACCGTTACATTTCATACAACTGTATGTAATAGACTATTACATACACTATCTCCTTTTGTCAAACATACAATTTTCACTAAGCCTTCTAACATAAAAGCACTCACAATATATCCAGGTCCCATTTCATCTGATCCATTCTCCCATAAAGGTATTTATAATCAGGGTTTCCAGGATTTTTTTGGGGGGTAGGTTATTACTTTCATTTATTCAGTGTTTATGTTTAGCAATTTTTGAGTTTTATTTCAATGTCCAAAATCAATTTTTGAGGGCTTTACAAAGACACAGCAGAAAATAGTTACTAACCTTTCATAATGGCTGTTCTTTTCAAATGTCCATTCCACTCTGTGTGCATACAATCTGTGCACAGTCATTGGCAATTTTTCCCTTTGTGGTATCTTTTGGATAGTATGAGCACCTTCTGCTGCCACCCATCAAGTGCCCTCAGTTCCTTCTTTTCATACATTGCCAATGCAGACGGTTAAAAGTAAGTTGTCGGAGTAATATGAAAATCGGATCCCATTTCAGATAAAAATCTCAGATGAGAGCACAAATACACCTTATCCTTAAAAAAAGTTTGAACAAGGCAATTTGGATGTCAGAGCATGCATTTTGGCCACCCTTCTGACCAAAGCGATAGTTATCAGGAAAGCCACTTTTAGAAACTGATGTTGTAAAAAGCACATTGCTGAAGGGTCAAAAAGTGGCTCTCTGACTTTCACAAAACTATATTCAAGTCCAAGGCAGACACGTTCTTATTTGAGGGTACAACCTTTCCTGGCCTTTCACAAATCTGACTGACATACCACCAAAAATACGGAGTGCTTATCCACATGAAGATTGAAAGCCATGAGACTTTAACTATATTGCATTTAAAAGACAGTAGAGAAAGTTACACACACTTGGGAAAACTATTTTGGGAATAAGATGACATGATTATTAATTGCTTGCCATCTAATTATTCTCAAATGTGTGTCATTTTATCTACTGAATATATTTTTGACCAGAGCTCCGATATTCAGCTTTAGTTTTCACTATTGGAAATGTTAATTCTGGCACACACACACACACACACAAAAAAATCATAAACAAACATTAGCTGCCATGGTGTTTTATTTTTAACCCTATTAGCTTGTTCTGGATTCGTTGATTAATGTTCATGAGGCAAAATTAAGAGTGGCCTATGATAAATGCCACAATGCAACTTTTTCTGACAAAGCACTGGAAGCATGCCATGTGATTACTGATCTTGTATCAAAGACCAAACAATCTACAATTGCAGACAAATTAATTTTACCAGCACGCAAAGAAATTGTCACAGCAATGTTAGATATACATGTAGTCAAGTATATTGAAAAAGACCCCTTTTCAGATAAAATAAGTTGCCTCATTGATAACATTTCAGGTGATCCTGAAAGCTTTTATGTCCTTTTCTCAGTATTCTCTTTTCCAAACTAAAGAAGCTGAGTTCTTTCAATCTTCCCTCATAGGTCATGTTTTCTGGACCATTAATCTTTCTGGTAGCTCTTCTCTGGACCTTCTCCAATTTGTCCACATCTTTCTTGAAATGTGGTGTCCAGGACTGGACACAGTACTCCAGTTTAGGGATGTGAACGACTAGTCGACTACCAGATAAGCAAATTCTTACCAGATAATCAACACCCTAGTTGACTAGTTGCTTCCCCCCACACCTTGTTGCCTCTATAAGAAAGAGGCAGCAAGAGTGGGGGAAGAGGACGGACGGGGTGCTTCAAAGCAGACCCTGGGCTCAATGTGTGTCTGCTGCTCTGAAACGCCATGTGAAGCCTGATGCAGGGCTCCCCACAGTGTTTCAAAGCAGCAGCGCTGTGTGGAGCCCGGGGTCAGCTGGGGACCCCAGACTCCATGCAGTGCTGCCACTTTGAAACTCTATGGGGAGCATAGGGCCAGTGCTTTTGCTGTTTAAGTGTAGCAACAGCCCCAGGACTATTGTTACACTTCAAGGGTGGAGGTGGAGGCACTCATCTTGATTAATCAAATAGTTGATGCAAATTGCATTGACTATTTAATTAGCCCATTAATCTAAATTTAACATCCCTATTCCAGTTGAGGCCTAATCAGATTAAAAGGTAACACAATAAGTCTTGATGCATAATATCATTAGTTCGGGTTTCTTTATATGGTGTAACTTTTGTATTAGTTGTAGATCAAACATTTTTTTAAAAAAATTTGTATCTTGTTGGTATGAATGTAAGACGACTGAAAATACTTGTTAGGCTGTAACATCATTAACTGTTTTATACAGACTGTGAATGGCAAGGGTGGTAAACAGGCAGTGAGAGGAAGAATTCATTTTATTTTGTGCCTCAAAATAATTAAAATGTCACTGGACTCCTTATTTTAAAGGCTAGCAAATTTAATAGGGCATAAACTTTCAGGAGATAACACTCACTTTCTCAGATGCTTGAAGAGAAAAGAAAAAAGGGATACACAGAGAGGAGTGACACATCAGTGCTAATTAAATCAGATTGGATGTGGCTGATCTCCAGCATGATGAGAAGGTGAGAGTACCCGAAAGGGAAATTACCTATTGCAATGTGAAAACCACTCCCTATTTCTATTTAAACCTCTTTTCAGGTGTCATATTTGCATCTTAATTCCAGCTCCCCAGTTTCTCCTTGCAGATTAATTTTTGAAGATTTTTTTAGGGGGAAACTTGTAAGTGAAAAACTGTGTTTCTAGGGAGGTTAAAGTGCTCCCCCACTGATTTTGGTATGTTGCCCTTCTTAATGTTTGATTTGTGTCAATTTGTTCTTTTGTGTAGACACATTCTGGTTTGTCCAATGTACATGATAGAGGGGCATTGTTGGCATGTTATGGCATATAGTACATTAATAGATGCACACGTGAATGAGCCTTTGATGGTATAGCTCAGTGTTTCCCAAATGGTGTTCCACAGAACCCCGGGGTTCTGCGAAGTGAAAATAAGGGTTCTTCGAGAAAATTCCATTACAATAACATGTTATTATTTTTTTAAAATAATAATGAATATTTAAGCATTTATGAATTTTATTGAAAATAATTTTCATTTGTGTTTGCCACGATAAGTGTCCCTGTGTAACGATGTCACTACTCAATGCTGATGTCCATATATTAGACTATTAGGGGTTCAGCAAAATTCTTTTGAGCTTAAAAGGGTTCCATTGCCAAATAAAATTGGGATACACTGGTATAGCTGATGTGGCTAGGTCCTGTGATGGTGACACTAGGGTAGATGTATGGAAAGAGTTGGCAAAGGGAATTGTTGCAGGGACCAGTTCCTGGATTAGTGTCTCTGCTGTGGGCTATGAAGCTGGTGGTGAGTATTTATCTCAGATTGTAGGGCTGTGTGAAAGCTAGGACTGGCCTGCCTCGCAAGAGGTGAGAGATTGTTATCTATGATGGCTTATAGATGCTTGATAATGTAAAGGAGGTTTTAGCTGGGGGCTGTAGTAATGGCATTCTGTTGCTTTTTTTGTTGAGTCTGTCCTATAGTAGGTGACTTCTGGGTATCCACCTGATTTTATCAGTCTGTTTCTTCACTTCTCCAGGTGGGTATTGTAATTTCAAGAATGCTTGATAGATTGTGTAGGTCGGGGGTACTCAACATGTGGCCTGTGGGCCGCATGTGGCTTGCGGTTCATTTGTTTGTGGCCCGCGGTGCAGTTTGGATTTACAGGGGGCTCAACATACAACCCCCCGGGTGGGATCCTTTGAACATGGCCTCCACTGAGAACATGCTCCACAACAGTGAGGCATCTCCCAGCTGGCGTGAGCACTGAAAGACGCAAGCAGACAGGCTGGCTGGAATAGACAGGTACAGCATGTCAGTGTTTCTAGCCCCCAGGGAGGAGGTGCCAGGAGCGCCGGGGCATTGTATGAAAGATGCTATTTGCATATATTTGCATGTATATTTGCACATATACAACCACACAAGCTGCAGCACTCGGCATGCGCTGAGAGTATCATTGTGGCCCCCGGGGCTTCCAAAGTTGAGTAACCCTAGTGTAGGTGTTTGTCTTTATCTGAGGGATCGGAGCAAATATGGTTGTATCTTAGGGCTTGGTTGTAGATAATGGATCATGTAATGTGCTTGGATGAAAGCTGAAGACGAAAATATGCATGTATAATGGTCAGTAGGTTGCCGGTAGAGTGGTCTTTGTGACCATCACTTATGTGACCATTACTTTGTGACCATCACTACTTGTAATGTAGTATCCAGGATGTGGATTTTTGTGTGTGGACAGGCTGAGATTGATGATGGAGCAGAAACTGAAGAATTCCACCAGGATTTCAACAAGAGCCTCCCTCCCATGGGTCCAGATGATGATGATATTGTCAATGTAGTAAAAGCAGAGGGGGGCACTTTGGGATGAGAGCTGAGGAAACATTGTTCTAAACAGCTGTAAAAATGCTGACTTACTACAGAGCCATGTTGGTACCCATGGCAGTGACTCTTACTTGAAGGTATAAATCATCCTCAATGGTCCTGGGAGAGAACAAAGGCAAAGTTCAGCAACCAGCTGTGCTGCCACAGCTTCAGGGATACAGATCCTGAGGGCTTGTAATCCATTCTTGTGTAGAATGCTGGTGTAGAGAGTTTCTATATCTATCGTAGCTGTGCTGTGAGTATCATTGTGGCCCCTAGGGCTTCCAAAGTTGAGTAGCCCTGGATTATAGTTTCCTCAGGAAATCAGTGGTGTCTTGAAGACAGCTGGGAGTATTGGTAGTGTAGGACTTGAGGAGAGAGTCAATTTAGCCAAACAACGTTGCTGGCATATTGCCAATGCCTGAGATGATGGGCCACCCAGGATTTCCAGTTTTATGGATTTTGGATAGCAGATAGAATACCCTTGATCCAGACTCTAGGGATGTGCCTATGAAGGAAAAGTTGGGAACCACTTACCTAGAAAACTACCTATGATTAATTTACAATGAACACACATATTGAGATAACTTGCTAAGACAAGCCGAGTGATTCCAATGACCATCGTGAGATGCAAGAAGGAACTACAGAAGCTCAGGGGCAGCTAGACCCTTTATATCAGTGCACAGCAGTGCATGGCAGCAGAGAGTGCTCAAGTCAGCCAAACAGGTACCACTGAAAGAAAAATGTTTTGTGACTGTGCAATCACTCAAAGAGCGTGCTTAAATAAAGTAACAATTCAAACTGCATCATTCATTAAGGTTCAACAGGGAATCTTTAGTGTATGCCAGCATGGGCTACATGGACCAATTAATGTGAAACAAATTCATTCACTTTAGAAATCACATCCCTGCACTCAACACTGCTTATCTGTTTAGACAAGCCAATATTTCCAATATCTACTGGATAAAAAGTGATTTTCTTTTCTGCATTGGGGTGTTTTAACAGTGTTTATCTGTTAAAATCAGAAGCCTTTATATTTTCTGTTTTGTCTTCTAGACTGAAAAACTCCTTGAGGGCAAGGACTTTATTTTTCTATGTTTTGTTAAGAGTTGTGGTGTCTTATGGCACTTTAGAAATAACTCTTTACATTCCCTGTACCTCCTCAGCTTCAAGGCTCTTGTATATTCCTCAACATTACCTTACACATTAATACTTCTGCTAAACCAAGGTTCAAACACCTTTTTTAAATATATTGATCATAAAAGTCCACTAAGATCAAACTGAGGCAAATTGGATTCTATTTGTATTAAGTATTTGTATTTGTATTGACTACATGATAAGGAAGACCTGTATTTATTTCAATAATTCTGGCATTCTGCAATGCAGGCAGCCCAGCTCCTACTACATTTAAATAGCAGAGACACAGCAGGGATAGGTCCTGGACCCAGCACAAGCTGGGACTCAGCAAACCCGGCTCCTGCTGGGTCCAGGACCTATCCCTGCTGCGGCTCTGCTATTTAAATGTAGTAACAGCCAGGCGGGGACCTAACTCCACTGGGATCCCCCGGTGGCTAGGGCTGGCTATGAACACAGGCTGTTCTGGAAGCAGCCCCTGTCCATAGGGGGGTCCCAGATGCCCACTGGGACACCCTGCCCCGGACAGGGACTTCTCCACAGGATGCAAAGCAGCCTCTGCTCCCAGTGAGGCTGGGCCCTGTACTGTAAACAATATGTGGGCCTGCAGAGGTTACCTCTGTATTTCTTTAGGCCAGCCTTGAGCACTGCTAGCGAAAACAACAGGTGTTCTTTATCAGATGGCCTTTACCAGCACAAACTCCCTATGCTTGCTAGCAGAGAACCCTGTATGGGATGAATAACATGACCTCGGCTCTCAGCCCCATAGAAACGTTGAGAGCGGCATTGGGCCAAATTGCGCACACTCAGTAAACATACAAGATCACTGGGAGTCCTGCCCCTCTGGGAGTCTCACCAGGGACCTGGACCTTGGAGGATGCCCTGAATCCCCCTAGCTGGACCAAATCCACTGCAGCCTGGAACAAGGTGACCAGAACAGAACTCCCAGCAGACTGAAGGGGCATAAGCATTTCCAAGTGCCTGTAGCTGTCTTTTATGCATTGCTCTGCCTAAGCTTATTGACGTATTACTTTGTAGTATCTGAGTAACCATCTGGCAGTATTAAGCCTGTAACAGTAGTGATGTAGTGAGATTAATAAAAGCAACTATCCCTAATCGACTCTTTTGTGAAGCAAATCCACAGCCCAGTTTGGTGTTGGCCCTTTGGGCTGATAGGCCCACCATGGGCACAGGCTACTTTGTGGCAGCCTCCGCTATCTCCTTCCTTGTGCTGCTACCTCTTATAGAGGGAGCAGCAGGGGGAGGAGGGAAAGAACAGGCAGCACTATGGAGACAACATGGGGGGGGAGGGGAAACCGACTTTTAAGCTGGCTTCCCCCAGCACCAGCTCCCCCCTCTGATACAGAGGCAGCAAGGGGGAAGATGTGAATAGTCGACTTAACTACTCGCTTATATTCCCCTACTGTGGATATCAATACATAAGCAAAGTGAGCCATATTAATGAAATGCAAGTCAAGCCTTCCTCACCAAGACAAAAAATGCTGAATGACATTTCTTACCTGGTCGTGCATTAGTGTTGCAAGATGGGTTGTTTTCCCCCCAGGTGCAGCACACATGTCCAGAATTCTCTCTCCTGGCTGAGGGTTTAAAACATGGCTTACCACAGCAGAGGGCAAGTTCTATCATTAAAACAAAAAGGTTGAATTCATGCTTTAAAAGAGTCTTATTTCAAGTATGACACACATAGGGAATAAATATTGAAAAATCATCTCAAGCAGTAAAGGCACTTATATTTTTGTTGCTTTCTCCAATACAGAGCCTGAATCATTTCAATTTAAATACTTCATATTAAGTGTTTACCTATTTTTCACTTTCCATTTCTGGCTGCTTTTCTCCTAAACTTAGGTATTAACAATTTACCACAACAAAAGGTTCGAACTTCATGTCTCCAGTCTCCAAACTGGAAGTCTCCAGGACACTGACTGTTGTCTGCACCCCAATTGGGGGAAATCCTCAAAGAGGGGAGTATGTAAGAATGAGAGACAGTGGCCTCCATTTCACTTCTCTCTCCCATCATCTCAACTCACAGTGCTCTTAAAACCTTTTGCTTTTAAGTTTTGTGGCCTAAGTTAGATATTATCTTGAGTTTTTTTACTCTTATTTTCTTCGTAATTACCCAATGCCTATCTTTCTTTTGATAATAAACTTATTCCATTGTTTTAACTTAACTGGTGTGTTTAGATTTGTGTGGGAAACTATATTTAGGATCATAAGACTGATTCATGATCAATTTTCTTTGATGAAATGATGGACTTTCTATAAGCTTGTGTTGGTCAGAAGCCTTTTCAACAGTATAAGACACAAATTTCTAATGGGACCAGAAATTGCAGGTGTCACCCTGTATGTAATTAATGAATGATTGATCAGAGTGCTCATATATTTCAATGGGAGTGAATTTTCACACTAAATGTTGTATGAACAGCCAGGAGTGGATGTTCTGACAACACAACAGTGTAAAAGGCACCACAGACTAGAGAATTAAGGGGACACAGCTGTTCAACAGTACAATTGTATGCCCTATGTAATGTCACAATTGAGACTTCTAAAATTAGATCCAACCTTGAAAATGTGGGCCATGATATTCCCAGCCTGCAACAGCCCCTCAGCCCCAAACAGACTGCAGGATGTAGGGAGTAACTGGAGGCCAAGGCTAGACCCCCAAAGAGCCACACCCCCAACCAGTTGCAGAGCTGGGAGAGGTAGCGCAGCTGGAGGCCAGAGCCAGCCTGCAGATTGCCCCTCCCCCAACAGGCTGAAGGATAGGGTTGCCACTGCCCCAAGCTAAACTCCCCGGAGCAGCTGGAAGCCAGGGGGCAACAGCAACAGGAAGGGGGGTTCCCCCCCCCAAACAGGCTGCAGGACGGGGCAGGGAGGGGTGGCAGCAAGAGCCCAGGGGGGAGAGCTCTCTGCAAGTCCCAGCCTTCACCTGACAAGTGTACAGACCTGGATCCCCCGCTCCTCAGAGGAGCAGCCCTCCGAGGAGCACAGACCTAGCCGCTCAGGAGGAGCTGCTAGCTGAGGAGCACTATCCGAACTCCCTAGGAAGAGCTGCCGCTGAAGCAGTACTACCCTCGCTGTCATGGGCGGCCCCAGTAAACCCCACCCCATCTCTATCCTGAGCTCCCTGCCCTGAGTCCTGCACCTCCCACCTCTCTTGACTTCTAAATCCCCACCTTCTACCTCCTGCCAAGGCCCCCATTCCCTATCTTGAGTCCCCCATACCTCCCAACCCTCAGCCCTAAGCCACCCACTCCCTGCTTCTCCTTATCCTTGATCTCTCAACTCCAGCCTTCATTTTTCCTCATTTTAAAAAAATACAATAATTGAAATAAAGCATGTAAGTTTTTCATTGATTTTCAAGCAAGCAAGCAAGCAAGTTCAGTTAAAGACTGAAGCAATGCTGGTACATCTCCTAGTATTACATATAAAACATGCCTTTTATTCTGGAATATCATAGTCACAGACCATAACAGTGATGCCATAAGTCTATTTCATTTTATTTCAGCATAACTCAGCTTTCCCAAATGAACCCCATCCTATAACAGTTTGCAATGAAGCTTACTGTAAAATTATGTTCACTCTAAGCACAGTTAGTTTTAGCTTTTTTGGCAACCTGAAATCAGATCTGCATCAAAATAACAGTGGGAATGGGAAAGATGAGAGCTAGTTGTAGAAGTTCTAAGGACACCATAAATACAGGGTACATCTACATTTCACCATAACTTGAAATAAGATACAGGCAGTCCCCGGGTTACGTACAAAATAGGGACTGTAGGTTTGTTCTTAAGTTGAATCTGTATGTAAGTCAGAACTGGCATCCAGATTCAGCCGCTGCTGAAACTGACCGCCAGTTCTGACTTACATACAGATTCAACTTAAGAACCCCAAGCTTCCCCAAGTCAGCTGCTGCTGAAACTGATCAGCGCTGATTCCAGGAAGCCTGGGGCAGAGCAACTCT